CACACACAAACACCCCGCCACCGGTTTTTTTTTCCTTCTCCCTTTTCTTTCTTTTCTCTCTCTCTCTTTTTAATTTTTCTTGCCACTACAAAGGTATTATGATAATTTTTCCTTGTGGGCAGAAGGGCAAGTCAAGGCCTCTTTTTCTTAGGCAGGTGTAAAGAAATTAAACATGCCTCCCTTCTCCCGTAAATTAAAAAAAATAAAAGGCAGAACAGTCGAAACTGAGGCGACTTGGAAAACGCTGAGGCCAAACTTTCGATATTGATTTATTGGGGCGGGGAGAATGGAAGGTTGGGAAGATTCTGGGGCCTTTTGACTTCCTTGATTTAGTACTCCGGGCTTGATTTCTTCTCACTTTCTGCCATTTCATTGAAATACGATGAGCCGCGAGCCCTGGGAAGTCACAAGTGAGCGATTTCATTACTTTTATGCTGAAAATAATATTTTTGTTTTAGAAGCTATCAGTAGGCTTAGAGTGCTTTTGAAATATTTTTTTCCACTGGCTTTTTAATGACGTGTAATTCTTATTTCATAAATGCAAGAATCAAAACAAGCCACTGAACCCAGTCCACGCTTTGCCCCTGGGTGGTGGTGTTCAACTTGTCTCTGTTTTGGAGGGAAAAAAATAAGACATCATTCATAAGACATGGCTTGATTCATATTTTCATTAATCACTTCGTGGAACATTAAAGAAAAAACTCCCCTGTGACATTCGGGGGGACTTATTTGTGCTTGGATATGTAGACATTATTGATGTTTTTTTTTTATTGTTCTTATTTTATTAAGCGAATTTAGTGAATATTCAAGTCTGGATGAGGTTCTGGAATTAAATTGGCTGGAGGCTTTTCTTTTTCTTAAAACAAACAAAACCCCCACATTTGATTCTCATTGAAAGGGTAAGTCCAGGCTGCTTCCAGTCACCCCCTTTCTCTCCTGCCTCTCCTTGAATAATGAGGATGGTATTTAAGATAGTTGACTTGGTGTTTTGTAGGTGATGATTTAGAGGAGAGAATGTATATTTATATTTAAAGACTGAAAGTCAAGATCTTTGTTGTACTTAGATTTCCTTATGTCTTGAACAGCCTGAAGCTAGAATGTGAGAAACTGGCCAGTGAGAAGACCGAGATGCAGCGGCATTATGTCATGGTAAGAAAACTGTGTCATAGATTCATAGTGTCTATTTGGGATACCGAAAGCAAGAAAACCTTCAGATTGCTGGAGGCTGCAAGATTGATCACAGTTTCAGTGTCAGTGCAGTTGAGGTTATGGGAATGTGACCATTAGCAACCTGTAATTCCAGGATATTACAACTTGCCTCTGACAACCAGCTGTGATTTGAAATTTCAAAAAGTTCAGCTGCATGGGGTATAATTTTCTGTGCTTTGTTTTTACAGAGTGGAAAAAAACAAACAAACCAAAAAACAAAACCTCATTTATGTTTTGTTTAGAGTCATAAGCAAAATGTTTCTGTTAGTGGTTTTCTTTGTTGTTTTACTGCTTTTGCTCCAAACAATTTTAACCCGTTTTTCTGGAAACTGTTAAAATTTTAATGTTTTATTTCTTTTAAAGAATGATGGATAACAAAAGACACCAGACACCTTTTCAGATTTCCCCCACTCTGTGTTACTATGCATGTGTGTTTGTGTGTGTTGTGCGTTTGCAGTTTCTGTAGTGTTACATTGGCTTGAGGAGTGTTGTCATCTCCTGCGTAACTGAATTTCTGTAATGCCAGTTCAACTACATGTTCAAAAAAATCAGATCTGGTTTTTCAAAAGTATTACCAAGCATATTTTTATGCTTGTTCATGGAGGCTTCAGAGTAACTCATTCATTTCCTGTCAAGCCTTTTTCCTTTGAATGTATGAACATTAGCAGTATACCATGTATGAGAAGCTGAACACTGAAGTGGCATCACCTTTTTGAATAGTTCTTTTAAAACATCTGCATTTGTATGAGACACATTTTTGCCATTAACTTGCCTGCTGTGTCTAGGAATTAGAGACCCTATGGCTCCAGATTTTCATCAGACCTTTTTCATTCACCTGCTTGTGATGTATAAAGACAACTTGAGATGTTTAGAATGCTCTGTTTGAACTTGATTTTCTTAGTTTTGGGAGTTATTTTCTTAGAGTCTGTGTCTTAAGGTGGCTTCTAGTTTATTAGGCTGAAGATAGTGGTAGAATGTTTCTCCTCATTTAACAGTATACGTATTATGGATATTTTGGTTTAGGTGAAGCTTTTATGTTTGTTTTAAACATACTTGGGGGAATTTTGAACAAACAAGGGAAATTGTTTGATGAAAGGCATAAAGTTAATTGCTTTTCCTTCTTTGACAGTATTATGAGATGTCCTATGGGTTGAATATAGAAATGCACAAGCAGGTGAGTTATTTATTTCTTTATAACCATTTTAAATGACATTTTGGAAAGAACATTGTATGTTTTTGCAGTTTTATTCACATTTTTGTGACTCCACTTATTTTAAAAGACTACTTGGTAAGAATGTTCTTTTTTCAGGTGTGGTTTCCCATCTTTTTTGTACATTATTTTAATTTTAATCATTTAAAGATGTGATTTAAAATGTTTGAGTGCATATTCAACTTTGTACCCTTTCATAACCAGGATGCTAAATTTTAAAATAGGTTTTATTTTTCATTTGAGAGAGTTGATTTATGTATTTCGGGCATTGCAAACTTGTCTAATGAAAGAGATTTTCTTGGAAAATATTAAAAAGGAAAACTAAATTCTGTGGGCCTTCATTGGCTTGGTGTGAAAGAGTGGATTGAGGGTGAGCTGTGAGGATCAAAATGAAAGCTCTGGTGCTGCAAAGGAAATTGATGTAAAATCCTCGTACTGGTCCCCTTGAGGCTATTTAGTTGGATCATACCAGAAACTGTAACTGTTACTTCCAAAATTTGTACAGAGTAAATGAGCCTGATAGGAGGATGTGATAAGGTTCAACACTATGTCTTAAAACCTATTAATTAGTACAGCCAAAAAAAGAAAAGAAAATAATCATTAGTTAGAGAGCAGTGAGACATATGATTCAAACAGCTTTTTTCTTTGTGGGAGACTGAATAAAATGGCTTATGTTACCTAGATAGAAAAATAGCATATATATAAAAACATTGTTTGGCAATAGTAATTCCTCTAGGAGGCATTCATTTTTAGCGATCACCTAGTGAAAGTGCTTCAGGTCTGTCTCAACCATTTCAGAGGTAGGTGTGTGTTTACCTGCTGGGAAAAGAGGAGGGAAATCTTAGTGCGTTTCATCTCTTACTATATTCATGGTGGATGTCATTAACCTTCTAAGTTTAAAAAATATGAAATGATCACATTATTAGGATTTTATTACTTTTAGATTCCTTTTTGGGTGCAGTTAATTACCATATACTCAGAATATACTCAGTAGAGCTTTAAAAGGTGACTGTTAGATAATAAAAGTGATTGGATAGGCAGTATTTGTAAAAGTTGGGGGGAAAGGAGTTGTTCCTTACACTGAGAAGTTTTTGTTTCAGATACCTTTTTACTTTATATTCTATATGGTTATGTCAATATTAACATTATAATATAGTTTGCTCCGTGTTAAAATTGAATCCTTATTTTGGCATCTTTGCCAACTCTGTTTAGATTAGTAATATATAAATATCTCCTGCCTACACAAAATCCATCAAGCTTATGGATGGACTCCCCTTAGCTCTACCTTACAGGAATAAATTACATGAGAGATACTGTTTGTTAATTATCTTCATTACATGTCATTTTAGGTCTGGATCTTGTACTTGTCCTTTTTTTTTCCTCACCCCACCACCCAAGATTAATTGGTGCCTTTTTAAAAGATTGGACCAGATGATTAATGTCCCTTTATTTCTCCTCCTGTATCTTATTTACCATAGCCAGTTAGCTTCCAGATCTTTCTGTTCCATTTACAGGAGGCACAGAGTTGATAGTATTTGGCTGTATGTATTGTTTTGGTGGGGCGCTGTCTGGGAGATCCCTTAATTTTGCACATTTTCTACCTTTGTAATTCTGTCATCTTCTTGTCCGGTTGGGCTCAAATGCCACCTATTTAAAATTGAGAATGGAGTACATTTTCCCTTTTTTCCTCTTGCTTTTAAATTCAATCATATCAAGAATCCTGAGGGCAGTTTATCACATTATGAAATACAGACAGCCCTGCAAACCACCTACTTATTATATTTTCTTTCTTTTCCCCCTTAAGCGCAGAGGCATATCTGTCTTTATTTGTTTTCCTAGGCAGACAGCCTTGGTTCCTCTTGGCTTCTCTTCCAGATGCACTCGCTGGATACCCTCGTAATGGAAAGCAGCAATAATGCAGGGAAGTTGCCCTGCGGCATAATTGGGCCTAGTTCTCAAGATCGGGTTAGGCTTATTCACTTATTAGATTTGTGTCTCTGAAGGGTTCAAGAGTAGGAGTCCCCAGAGTCCTTGGAAGTACCCTAGTAATTGGTGGCACTGATATTTGAAACCTTTGTGTATTTTTTTGCTTAACGCTTCTGTTCTTCTTGGCTGCTGCCAGCCACAGAGTATTTATTTTTAGAGAAATTTTTCATTGGAACAGAAAATGATGGCTGTGATGGAGTCATGACTCTGTGACATAGCAAACTGATAAAAGGATAAAAGCACAGAGCAGTGACAAACAGGGTCGGGGGTCTGGTATTATGGCCCCTCCCTTTTCTGTAGGATGCTCATCGGCAGTCACCCTGTGTTGATTCTGATAGACTATAAAGTGAAACCTATGGGGAGTTTGTCATTCTGAAATGAAAGCTAATGTAATTAGTACCAATTAAAGTACATTTAGTAAATTGGATTTAATCTTAATTAAGCCTGCATAATGTTGCCAATTTTTAACAATTATGTTTGAGAACATAATTAATTTAAATTTTGGTAACTGAGTAAATAGCATTAGTCTGGTAGAATTAGTTGAATTTTTTTTAAAGGGGAACTCGGTGACATGACATGGAATTAGAGCATAAAATATGAATCTAATTTCTGGTAATCTTTAGTAGGATCGATAGAGCTGAGCTGATGAAGTTGGAAAAAACCCCCAGAAAAGTTAGAGAGGAGTGTTCTAGGCTGTAACATGAATTAATGCTTTGCCCCTGTCTTAAGTTCTAGCATGAAAGTGAAGGTCACAAATGGAACATGGTTAGAAATGGCACATGTTTTATCGTGATGTCTTCATAATGGAATTTTTAAAAACAAAAGAACATTGATCTTCCCTAAGGATTTTCTTAAGTGTGGAGTTCTTGTGTTTTGTTTTGGATGGGGCAGTTGACCCATCATTTAGTAGCTACTTTCTTTTGCTGATTGTACCTCTTTATAAAACACAGTGTGGCTTCTAAATGGGTCAGTGACCGTGGGCAGAACAGGGTGATGCGTGCAGTTGATAACATTGCTAAACACTGCTTGTTCCCAACCTTCACCTGTAATGCTGTAATTAAAGAAGACTGCCCTGATTTAATCTGACAGCAGTAGTTATGATTTTAAGAAGTGAATATTTGATGCAGATTAGGAAAAATAGGTAGTATGTGAATTCATCCTCTAGGAACTGTAAATGGAGATGAGCATACCACATTTTGAGAACATCTCGTGACTTCCTCATAGTTAATACTCAGTATTCTGAAGCTTTCTTTGCCTCTAAAAAGTTTAGCTTAGTATTTGAATTTTAGAAATTAGAATATTTTAGAAAGCTGCAAGACTTAGAACTTAAAAGAAGTGAGTATTGCATATTTATATATACATGCGTTTATGTGTGGTATAAATGCATATGTGTGTATGCGTGTATATGTGTATATACATAAAATTACTATTTTTTTAAAAATTCTGAGCAAGAGAACTCCTGTTTCACTCCAAGCCATGTAAATTTTATTATGAGATTTTGGGCCGCAACCATTTGAGTGCTGCTAAAATATTAATTGAATAGAAATGAAAGGGCCTTGCCAACTGATAGGATATCATAATCGTAGCCTCTCTGGTCGATGGTAAATGATGATAAATGACATTAGGAACCTTTTAGCAAACTGTAATAACTACAAGGAGGGAAGCAGTATGGATTTGCATTATATCTGATACCCTCTAGTACCAAGTGGATTGCCAATACTGCTTGTTTAGCATTTTCTAAGGGCAATAGGATATTGATTTCTGACTTACAAGGAACAGCTCTATTTTCACCATTGAAAAGTATTGCAGGTTGTTAAGAAGAAATTGACTTGAAGAGGCCGACTGCTGCCCATCATGGAGCAAATAAAGCAAAACTGCCGAAGCATGGTGGAGCAGGGAGACGGGCCCTCAGCAATTTGTTGCTATTAATTTACCATGCTCGACAGCAAATCAATCGGCATCTACTTCATCTGCTGGAGAAAACGCTGTCCAGGGCAGATAAAAGGCTCGGCATGGTAAAGAGAATAGGCTAGATTGGCCAAAAGGAGGCTGCAGTTAATGTGTAAATAAGTGAAATCAAGGCCACAGTTGCAGAGGAAGCTGTTGTTAATTAGGTTGGAGCTTTTTCGTCAACTATTTTAGAAAGCAGCCGAGGATTTGGAGAATAGAAAGAGATTTATTGAGGTTGAAGTAATATACGACTGGCACGACATTGCAGCCTTGAGTGTGCTTGATTCTGGGGTGCAGTAAATTTATTTGGGGACAGTGCATGCAGTGGAAGTCAGTTTGTTTAAAGTTCTGTTTAGACCAAATTTCACATAAGAATACTTTTCTTGAGCAATACTAATTTCTTGTGTACCTCCTGTCTTATATTGTATATGCTTAGATTTGGAGGAGTAGATTCAGGAGTAGGTGTTTGAGAATGTAGGCAAAAATGTGTCTTGTATTCTTGCACAATGACTATGTTTTTTAGAAATGGCTGTGATTAAACTCTTGTATAATAATGAAAGTGAACCATTAGAGCTCAGGTGTTCTATCTGAAAGTAAATAATAAACCAATAAAATTTTGCTGAGATGACTTTCTTTTGCTGTATAAACATTGGGAAATAATCTTGAGGGGCTGAATACTGAGTGGGTGGACAATACTAGACTGCAAAATGCCAGAGAGAGATTATAAGTGGAATTTTGATGACTGCAAAAAACCCTCCAGGTACAATTAGGTGATCCTGCACTTGTGTGATGGGGGATTATTTGCATTTCTGTTTTTCATTAAGATTTAGAGAACTTTTCTAATTTAAGATTACTCATACTTTGATAATATTCCATAATTAATAGTAACCAAATGGAGGTTATTGATGGTGTGTGTTTTTTTCTTCCTGCTGTTCTGTTTTGGACATTTTGAGGGTAGGGAGACAACTTCAGCCCTGTTTAGTAAATCTAGATGTATGTAAATTTTAAGTTATATTTTTTACAAAACT